GACTCTGTAAACCGCTTAGAGAGGGCTGAAAGCCCTATGAAGCGGTATATAAGTCTAACTGCTATTGCTATTGCTATATGATCCTGGGACACTGCAATCGTCATAAATGCAAGTCAGTTGCCAAGCGCCTGACTTTTGATCAGGCGACCCTGGGGACGCTGCAGTGGTCATGTGAAAAGCAGCCGTAAGTCACTTTTTTTCCAGTTTCGTTGTAACTCCGAATGTTCACTAAATGAATGGTTATTAAGCCAAGGACCACCTCTATTCGTGCAAAACCACGAACAAGGTATGTGTGGATTCCTTAGCTGTGATCTATGAACTGGGCCAAAGTGTATCCTGTCTTCTGTCTTCATCGTGAAACCTGTTCTTTTTTCTTTCTTGAAACAAACCCAGAACACTACTTTGACGCTGGGGAATGAAACCGTGGTGAGCGACAGTATGAAGGATAACCCTCACATGCGTTACTATGCTGGCATTTATGCACTCTCCATGGGAGTCATGCTGATTCTGAAGGCTGTCCGGGGCGTTGCCTTTGTCAAGGTAGGCGCTTGTGTAAAGAGGAGAGAACGACACAGTCCCAGGCTGCATTAACAGAGGGATTAGAATCAAGATCACGTGAAGTGTTAGTACCGCTTTTTAATGCCTTGGTAAGGCCACACTTGTAAATACTGCGTCCAGTTTTGGTCTCCACAATGTCAAAAAGATGTTAAGACTCTATGATAAAGTGCGGAGAAGAGCAAAAAAAAAGATGATTGGGGGACTGGAGGATAAAACACGAAGAACGCGTTGCAAGAATTCGGTAAGTCTAGTGAAAAGAAGGGCTAGTGAAAAACATGACATGATAGCAGTCTTCCAATATCTAGAGAAGGCATCAACCTATATTCTCCAAAGCACTTGAAGGCAAAACAAGAAGCAACGGATGGAAACTAATCAAGGAGAGAAGCAACCTAGAACTAAGGAGAACTTTGCCAACAATTAATCAGGTTGCCTCCAGAAGTTGGGTCCGCTCCAACCCTTAAGGTTTTTAAGAAGAGATCGGACAATCATTTGTCTGCAATGGTATAGGGCCTCCTTGAGCAGGGGATTGGAATAGAAGACCTCCAAGGTCCCTTCCAACTCTGCCATTCTATTAACAAAATAATTCTCACCTCTTGTTCCCCATCCTGTTATTCTGGACAATAGATTCTTTCCATGAAAGCAACTGCCTTCATTTCCTGATTTTTTGCTTGCATAACTTAATGTCATCTCACAAATATGGTGGAAGAGATTTGTAGTGTAGTAATCCTTCCTGGGGTCTGCCGTCCCTTCTAGTCATTTGTGAACTTTCTTTTAAAACTCCTGGTTCAAACAGCCCTCTTCTATGGCCACTACAGGGGACATTGCGGGCCTCATCCAGGCTGCATGATGAACTCTTCCGACGGATTCTTCGTAGTCCAATGAAGTTTTTTGACACCACACCTACGGGGCGGATTCTCAACAGGTTCTCCAAAGATATGGATGAAGGTAATAAGCTCTTGTTTAATAACCTTATGGTGCTAATACAGGTAGTACATTCATTGAATGACTTCAAAGTTACAGCAGCATTGAAAAAAGTGACTTAATACTTATGACTGGTTTTCACACTTATGACCATCGTGGCATCCCCACATTCAGGTAAATATATGCCGATGGTTGCAGGATGCATTCAGAAGGGAGCTTCTGGCAAGCAAAGTCAGTGGGGGAACCCAGATTCCCTTAATGGCTGCATGATTCATTTCAGTGATTAGTTTAACAATGTCAAAAAAAAAAAAAAGATCACAGAATGGAACTCATTTAAAATTTCTGAATTTACCTGTGCTGGCCTTACCTGTATCTCTCCTGGGCTGGGCTGGAGAGACCATAACAAGGTATTGTCCTCCCCCACCAGCCCAAGATCATGAACTTTTAACTGGGTGGAATTCTGATGTAATTTCCAGAATTGGGATTATACAGATGTGCTAAGATGTCTGATTTATTAAATTGGAACTTTTAAGGATCGATTTGCCTTGGACTCTGATTTAATTCTACATGATACTTGGAACACTGACACATTGTGTATATATATATAGGATATTCTTGTTATATTTTATCCCAGTTAAAAGTTCAT